CCAAGCTGGGCTGAGCTGACAGCTGGCTCTGTGCTTCAGCCACCACTCAACAGAAATTGCAGAAACAAAGCCATGGGGACTGTGCACCAATGTTCATCTATTTGATGGACAATACTTCAAGTGTGTGAAAGACTCAACTAGAAATTTCTAGGGCAACTTCTAATTCTAATTTTGAATATAGAGAAAATATTTAAAAGCTCTTTACAATTAGGGTGGAGGCATTGGAGCAGGTTGCCCAGATAGGCAGTGGATGCCCTGTTCATGGATACTTGCAATGTCAGTCTGGACAGGGCTCTGAGCGCTTGATCGAGCCGTAGGGGTCTTGTTCAAAGCAGGAGAGTTGGGGTAACTGACGTTTAGGGGTCCTTTCCAACTCAAACAATTCTACGATTCTATGATTCTAATTGTAGCCAGAACTGCAAATGATCTGCCAAGCCACCAGTATGCTCACCTTGATGCATATTAGCAGATCTAGTCAGTCAGGTCTGGCTATGGCCCTACATGCTTATTTTGGCTGGTTTCATTTAATTTGCATGTACTGTCAAGTAGACATGATAGCAACACAGCAATTAAACCTTGCTTACCTTGGACTCATATGCTTTGTAGAGCTGCCCCAGTGTCTGTCCCAGAGCACTCTGTGTCATGTTGACAAGGTACCTGCCAGGCTGCCACTGCTGCGCTAGGCTGTCCATGTACAGGTACTCCAGGCCCAGCCCTGTGCCATCTTCTTTGGTGTGCTTTGGCAGCTTGTACAGAGCAAACCTGCAGCAGTGACAAACAAATTTTGTTTTTCTCACAAACCATTCTATCTCAATGCATAGGTCCATCTCTTCTCCCCCATGAGCATGTAAGGACCAAGGTGAACCACAGAGATGCCTGCACAGGGGCACCAGTGCTAACACTCTGGAGCCAGCAGCACCATGTCCCTGCGGGCACCTTCAGTCTGCTTCTCTGAAGAGGCTTAGCCAGCACCAAACTACCCTTGCTATGGCCACACTGTTGTCAGTACCCTAGAATAACTAACCTTAGTTTTCCCTCACTGCACCCACATCCCTCCTGTGGCTAAAATGTGAATGTGAGCATCTGAGCAAAACTCTGTCCTGCATCTTTGTGGGGTTTTCACCCTCGGCACAAAGGATGAGGCTGAATGAGTTCTGCCTAGCATTTCAGGGACTGAACTGTGAGCTCAGCATCAGGGAGATGAAGCAGGGAAACCTATGCAGAGATGCACACTGTGGGGACATTCTCTGGTGTCCCATGCAGCCACCAAATCCATGCTGCTTGCTCCTGGCTTTCATAAACAGGAAAAAGCTGAGCCTGAACTTCAGGTCCCAAACTCAGTCTGCCATTCTCTTGGTCAATATGGATAACTCTTACCAACAATTTCTTATTCTATACAAACAGAATTATGTATTTATATGAGCCATAATTACATTGTATATTAAATAATAAAATTATATAATTCCACTTGTTCATACACACATATAAATAAGCACAAAACCATGATTAATTATAATCCTTCAATAGCAGACATACATTCTGCTGAGCTGTTGCAAGAGGAATATTTACAAACAATCAGTAAGAAACAGCAATCTCTTCAAAATTGCAGAGTACTTGACACTGTTGGTAAATGGGTCCGTTTCTACTAGCGTATCTGATGAAGTAAACAGGTTTTCCTAGTACAAAAGTCCATGGGATTAATTGCAGTGTAATTAATTGAGCCACTTGCTTTGAGTGCTCTGCTTAAGTAATTTGTTATTTATGTCAATAGTAAGAACTGAGCAGCATTATTTTCAGTCCTGTGCATAGTACTTAGCAATAATGCAGTCTGACTGCACTTAACACTGTCAGTATGCCAGGAAGAGTAGGTCCTGCCCAGATAAATTACAGTTGGTTTAAAAATAAAAAAAAAGAAAAAGCAGCTCAGAAAGCAGGTAAAAGCACCAGAAGAACATTTTGCTAGAGGGACATTTAATCCATGGAAGGGCTCACATACAGACTGAGGAGAAGCACACACCATGCTAGTGATTCTTGTAATCTACCTGCATCCCCACTATCTGAGGGATGTTCCAGGAGAAGGTGAAGAAGGAATTTGCAGGGGAGGTCTGGTGAGAGCGTTTCCTACTTGAGAAGCTGCAGCCATCCCTTCACTTGCAATGAGGTTTTGGAAAGAAGACAAATAGTAGTAGTTATACAGGTAGGAGATGAACCAAGAACTGCTGCCTGAAGCCTTTCCAAACTCCTCCAAAATGTTCTGGAAGGTCGGTGCTTTCCCCATGTTTACAGCCCTGCAGCGTACAGGAATGCCCACTCCCAGGTGAGCTGAGCACTCGACCTGACAGCTGAGTGCCTCAGCAATTGAAGCTGGATGAAAGTCCTCACTGCTAACTGTGCACAGGAAGTTTCTCAAGCGCTTAAAGTATTGAAGTGTTGTGGGAGTGGACTGAAATTACTTTCCTGACAAGCAGGAAAAGAGTAAAGTCATTAGCAGCAAAGAATCTGATTAACACAGCCACAGTGCTTGCTTCTGAGTGCGCACTGAATTACTAGAAGCAATTTTTAACCATCTTTTAATCTCTTTTTTCCACATCCTATAAAAACCAATGCACAGCTCTGGCTTCAATCCCTGGCTCTGTGTGCACAAGATGATTCTCAAAGAGTGCAGTGAACTTGGGCCAATAAAACAGAGACTTCTGCTCTCCTAAGGACAGCGGGCCTGGGGCCATATGCTGTGTGCAGGGGCTGGTGAGGTGAGCTCCCAGGTGAAACAGCACCTGTGGCCATTGCCAGCTGTACCACTCATGGAAGGAAGTGCAGGCAAGCCAGGGACACAGGTGGGAGGACAGATTCATGGCACAGTTTGGGTTGGAAGGGACCTTACAGATCCAGTTGTCCCCCAGTAGGACGCCTCCCAGTAACGTGAGTTGCCCAAAGCCCCCTCCCACTCGGCTTTGGGCATTTCCAGGGAGGGATCAGAGTGGATAAGGGAAGTGATTACTTCAGTCTAGCAACAAAGAAAAGGTGTGTGAGTACTGGTAATAAGCAATTATGGAGAATTGCAGCAGGAAGCCACTGAACAGCAGAGACTCATACAACTCTTGCAAGTGAAAATAAAAAAAAGAAAAGCTGTGTTTATTTGAAAGGGTGTCAACATCCTTTGCTTAAGAGGAAGCTTTTCTCAGCAGTTTCAGTTCTGCTTCGTAGCACCTGACTTCAGAATCAGGAAGAAGCAGAGGATGTTTGTTAATGAACAAGCACGACCATGCTGACAGGCAAGCTTCTCTTTTATCAGGTCACGATATGTTTGGAAGATCTTTCCTCTTCTCCCTACTAGTCCTGTCAGAAGGGACCAGGGTCTGCAACTTATTCTGAAAGAAATCATTGTTTTACAGAGAAATGAAATCTTTCTTATCACCAATTTCTTGGCTGCCTGCACCAATTCAGATTCTGATTCCCAAAAAATGACTTTTATCTGGAGGTGCATTGGTAAGCAAGATGGGGCTGGGCCAGTCCCTCAGGAGCTCAATGTGAGCAGCACACTGCCTGTGCTTGGGAGCCCCTGGTGAGCCATGTGAGGGTGGTGGTACAGAGCAGCACCACCTCCTCTGTCACTCATATCTGAACTAATTGCTGCTCTGTCATTCTTATTTTAAACTGCTTAATATTTGTCCTTCAGAGGCTTCAGTGCTTTTTTTCTTTCCTTTCCTTTTTTAAAAGCCCTTGCTTTACTTTCTAAACATGAGTTGGCTGTTTTGTGATTACACTTCGTGTCTTTCATCTTCAAGGTGCATTAACCCAGTTAATCACTTGGCACCTAAGTGCTGGCTGAGCGCTGCCAGACACCGCTTTCCCACACAGCCATGGCTGCCTGCGCTCCTTGCGCGTCTCCCAGCCCACTCGGAGGTGACTGGGCCTCAGCTCCCCTGCGTGGCCAGGGGCCATCAGTGAGATCAGGGCAGGGTGCGGGCATTTTCCCAGCAGTGCTGCTGCAGGCAGTTGTGGTGCTGGCACTGGAACACAGGTGAGGCTGGCTTTGATCATCAGAAATGAACGCTGCGTAAACCTGTCATTATTTTGCAGTTAGTCATAACAGAGCAGCGTGGTTTGTTCCATGGAATGAAATCACCTTTCAGTAACCTAGCCCAGGTTTTCCTAATGTAAAATTCAGCTACTCAGAGGCAAGAAGGATTAAACCAATGCTTGCTATGCATTACTTCCCACTGACCCGCCTACTCTGCACAGTATAATTTTAGGCATTATTTACTCATCCAGCTTCCCTCCCATGTGCGGTGCTTACTTACCAGTCCACTGCCTCCCCGTCTTCATTCCTGCAGGAAATCTCCACTGCCCACAGGGCTGGGGAGAAGAGCAGCAGCAGCAGAGTAGGGCCGCGCCACGCAGAGCTCGCAGTCATCTCGGCGCGTGGCACAGTGAGCGCAGGGCAGGCTCCGAAAACAGAAGTCGCCCGCGTTTCCTCAGGCTGCCGGTGAACGCCCCCAGGATCGGCTAGAAGCTCGCCCGCGTCAATCCGGGCAGAAGAACGGAGACGTGAAACTCGTCAATCTTGTACAACTACCCGAAAAAGCTCAGTTTTCAGACAAGCAAACCAAACCCACTTTCTCCTCTCTGCTTTTCCATGCAGCCTCTGCACTGAGCTCAGCCTTTGCATCATTCCCGGTCGCAAAGCCCCCAGTTCAGCTCTGTTCCTCCATTTGCCCATAGGCACTGAACGTCCATTTGCAGGGACTGACAGCAACAAAAGCCTCTGAGCCACAGCAATTTACTTCCAGTTGGTTAGTAAGGTTTTTAAATTCCCTTTTAAATGCATTAGCATTTATCTTAGGAACAAAGTCTGAATTGAACCTAGTCTTGAAAATATTCTCTTCTCCTTTCCCATTACACTTGCACTGGAATAAGTTAATATCAGGTACCGGACGAGTCAGCCTCTGGGAAAGTTTTTTGCAGTCAGCACTGGATGTTTTAGCAGAAAAGAAAACCCCATGACCCCACAGCATTTTTCCTTCCCTCCCATTGCAGTGTCTCCAGCACGGCAGAAGCTGTACAAGTTGGACTGTGTTTGACCAAAGCAGGATAAAAGCAATTAGGGCTTAGCACAAACAAAAACAATGATCCCAGAAAGCCAGGATTGTGGAAGTGTGAAATGAGAGCTGAATTTTGCTGCTCAGACTTGCTTCTGATCCCTTTCATGAGCAATCTGGAATCCAATTGCAACAAAACCCTTTCAACCAGCCCAGCCCGGCCCTTCTTTCCTTCTTTCTCTCGGGAACCACAACATGCACAGATGGGGCAACAGAAAACAAAAGTCATCAAGAACATGACAGCTGCTTTCATTCTTAGTTTGGGAGTTGTGCCTGCTCACAAAGCCACCTGCCTGCCCTGCACTGAAGCTTTGCTTCAATGCCCCTGCAGCTCCACGTGTGATTTGCTAAAAGATCTGCCCTCCAAGAAATGTTTTAAAGTCTGTCATAGCTGCTACTCATAAAGACATCTTCTCAAAGCATTTATCCTTCTATCAGGACTTGGAAATATTTTCATTATCACAGGTAATCACAGAAATAAAACAATAAATGTTGCTTATATTTCACTGCCTAAGTGTAACTAATGCCTCTGCGGAGTTCTGTTACAACTATAGCATGTGTTTTTTCCCTTCAGATTAAGGATATAGAAGTGCTCAACTGTGAATATGGCAAGAACACAATCAAGTTCCTTCGCCTTCATAGAGAAGGGAAGAAGCACTTTGTTAAAGAAGTGGAAGTGTGCACACATCTCCGGCTGACTTCTGCTCATGAGTATTTGGATGGAAACAACTCTTTCGTGATACCTACAGACACCATTAAGAATATTGTCCTGGTGTTGGCCAAAAAAAATGGGGTATCTTTTACTTTTTAGCTATCCTTGCTTTTCTTGTCTCTTCACTGGGAAGTGTTTGTTATGCAGCATTTTAAACAGAAGGACTCTAAGTAGCTTAGTCTCTTCTTAATTCTGTTAACTGTGCTCTTACCTCCTTCAGTTCCTCATACCGTAAAGAAAATCTGCAGCTCAAGTTCTCTCTCTTTTAATGAAATCCACATACAGCATTACATCCAGGGACTCCAGCTCCCAAGCTGTAGAATGGGAGATTTTTAGCTGGATCTGGATGTTTATTTGCAGCATTTGCTGCAAGCTGATCAAGTGAGTAGGTTCGCAGAGCCAGAATTGAAAGAAATCTGTATTTTTAACAACATTGATCCTCCCTAAATATTTACAATTAGAACAATCTGCTCTTGTATGTGAGGTAAGTGCTTTGTTCTAATAATATTCTTTGCTGCCTTAGATCTCAAGTATAGAACAGTTTGCTATAGATATCTGCAAACACTTCATGACAACATTTTGCCAAGTGGCGTACGTCAAAACCTACGTTCAGGAAGTGCCATGGCAACGTCAATACCAGGTATCTGAAACACTAATGCATTCCCTTGGCTCGTGCTGGAGCCATTTGCCACTCTCTTACCCTGCTTTCCTGTTAAGGTGATGCTTTCTGCTTTCTGCATTTTAACTCACATGTCTGCTCTGGATTTTAGAACGGCGTTCCCCACATCCACTCATTCATACTTGTTCCAGATGGGATTCGCTTTTGCGAAGCTGAGCAGTGCCGGAATGGTGAGAAAAACTTTGCAGCTTCCCCTGCTTCTCTGTAAATATTTCTGCTAATGACAGAAGGTGGCTTTAGGGACAGTAAAAGCCATGGCAGGGCTTACAGAGGAACAAAACCTCTCCAGAGATCTAAACCAAGGAATAATTTTATGGTCTAATTATGTAGTCTTTGATCTCTGAGAGACAGCTAAAGAACAGCTGAGCATCGGCCCCACATTCCTGCTGAAAAAAAAAGAGAAAGCCCGTGCAGGTTTCCAGTGCCTTTTGGCATAATGTTTTGTAATGTTCACAGTAATGCTGACAACTACTGCATTTTTCTCAGCCTTGATATAATTAATTTTATCTTCTTGGAAAAAATTAAGAAAGAAACCTGAATGAAAAAAAAAATATATTATGCTTTCTTGAGAAGCTTCTGCTTCCAGTATATGAACTGAATCTAAATATTTCATCATCATGATAATTCTGCATGCAATTTTGCAATTTCAGCCTTTACAAAGGCTTTCTGAAAAAACTGCTTTTCCTTCTTAGTCTTTTCTTCATGTACACCTTCAGTTGTTTCTTCAGGATTCCCTGCTTGGGTGAATAATAATCAGAAGATTTTCAACTCCCTTTTATTCTCCTTATAAGTGAGCCTTCTCTATCTTTAGCATCCTCCCATGCACCCAGCAGCCAGACACATAAATTTACTTCTCTGTTAACCCTATGTTTTAACACTTTACTTATCATTAAAAGAAAACTTGTGAGGCTTAATAGAATTACAACCTTTTCTTTTTCTTCTTCTTCTTTTTTTTTTTTCCTCCCCTGCACTATTTCAATTGATTGGAGGCTCAGAATTTTTTAAAACCTGAAAACATCAGAAGTAACTTAATCACAGCATTGCAGGGTTAGAAGGGACCTCTAAAGATCATCCATTCCAATTCTCAGTGGAGTTGCCATCAGATAACTGAAAAAACAGTACAAGCACAAAAGCTTCTGAAAGCACAGGGACATTCAGCTCTTTAAAAACTTTGTCTAGGTGTTATAGTTCTACTTACACATCTACCCAGCCAGCATTTCATTAAAGCATTTGTTGCAAGCATTCTTTTCAAACAACAGTATGCATTTGAATATGAGATACTTCAAGGTACACTGGTAGTATTTGCATTACATTTGTACCCAATTATCTTATGCCTGAGCAATGAAGTCATCAAGATCTGAAGCAAATCCAGTATATTCTGTTCAACAATATTGGGCAGACAAGATAAATCTTTAGATTCTACAAAGCTTTGGTGAATAATGAGGGAATGTAGTCAAAGTAATAGATAACACCTCCCTGGACCCATTCAAAAAAGCAATGATGAATGTAAACAAGAAAATAAATGGATGAAATACAGTTTTAATCATACACAGTAACAAGGTATTTAAACAAACAAATAAAAAAACACTCTAAACAATCATATCATTTGGAAATATCCATCACAGCAAAATTACTTTCAATATAACTTTCACTGAATCATAGAATGGCCTGGGTTGAAAAGAACCTCAAAAATCACCTAGTTTCAACCCCTGTGCTTGGGAGCCACCAGACCAGGCTGCCCAGAGCCACATCCAGCCTGGCTTTGAATGCCTCCAGGGACAGGGCATCCACAACCTCCTTGGGCAACCTGTTCCAGTGCGCCACCCTCTGAGTGAAAAACTTCTTCCTAATATCTAACCTAATCCTCCCCTGTCTCAGTTTAAAACCATTCCCCCTTCGTCCTATCACTATCCACTCTCATAAAACAGCTGTTCCCCCTCCTGTTTATATGCTCCTTTCTTCAAAGTGTGTCAGTTCTCCAAGTCAAAGGCAGGATTACTATGTGCCAGGCTTACTGAAGGATTAATTTTAAACTAGCTAGTGTGTGCATGAAGAGCACAAAGCAGCAGCGTGGGCTTCAGCAGTGACCATCTATATGGGCTCTGGGTAAGTCTGCATGGTGTACAGTTCCTCTTTCCCAAATTTGCATTTTTGGCAGCTCTGCTCAGTGAAATTTTCAATTATCAGTTTGGTGTAATCTAAATGACTGACCACATGAATTTTTTCAGCTGCCATCCAAAATGACAGAATAAAATGTTCAGGACACAACTGTTAGCTCTTGAGAAAATTATAATCCGCCCATGCAGCATTGATCTGCAACAGCTCATTTTATAAATAGTGGCTACAAGGAAAACACTGTCAGTTTGAACCTGTGGGTGGTATCTGTATTAATGCCAGTTCCTGCTAATTAGCTGAACTGCAAGCATTTGCATTGGCTCCTTGCCCTCGCGTTCTTAGGGATGCAAAACACAACAGGATGGATATGTAAAGTGAATTTCTGGCTGAGGCTCCCAGTCTTTGTATAACCTACCTTTCAACACTTCTCCATGTTAGAAAAGGCCTCCCTTTACCTCTCCTGTGCACCACAGCACCAGTAGCCCATTTCATTTCCCTTCTGAGCAATTAGTGATCCCCAAGTTGACATCAGTAAGAGCCTACCTGATATGCATCCCAGCTCCAAGGAAGTGAGAGAAGAGGTGTCTTCGATTCTCTACTGCAGGTCACTCAAGAAGATTCTCTTCTTTCTAGACTGAGCTCTGATTTCAGTGGCTTCTGTCTTGTTTCTTGCCTTCTTGCTAACATCAGCACACAGAAAATAATTTTTAGAAGTAGTTAGCCTTGCAGCAGAAATGTGCAAGTCTTGGAGTAGTCACTACCTAACGGCTCTAGAACCGCTACTACAAGTGAACAAGCAGAGATCCTTTCTGTCTGCCTCTGAAAAGGGCTCATGCTATCGCATATTTCTGGCTCACAGGTCCTCTGGTTGTTTTTGCTGGAATTAAAGATCTGAAACTTATGAAGACAACACAGTCTGGATTTGAAGGCTTCTACAGAAATGAACACACCACGCTTCCTGAAAGGAATGACAGGATTTTATGTGGAGAGCTCTTCTGCAAGTGGTCATACGGCGAATGCAGAGATTTTGATTTTGACTGCATATGGTATATATAAAGCTTAATAATATTTATCACCCAATCTTTGATCCCAAAGTCCCTCTGTGCATTGCAGCAGCGGAAGGGCCGGACCTGCACCTGCCAAGCACAGCTGCTCCCGTAGGTCTCAGCAGAGGCTCTAAGCATTCAGTATGGGGGCAAAAAGCAATCCCTGGGGCAAAATCAGCTTCTGTCTCTAATGGTCCATTGGACAGCAGGATTTAAATGGACAGTCTGTAGCTCAATTCAGAACACTAAGAGAACAGCTTCACAACTCATTTGTTAAATATTTTTAACAAAACATTTGCTGGCGAGTATAGAGTTGGCAAGGGAGGAACTGGGAGGAGACAGGACAAATACATTGATCTTCTGTGAAATCTCATGTGCTTTTTCTCATAAAAGAGAAAAGTAGAAAGAAAATGAGCACAGTAAAATATGATGGATCTAGACAGAAGTTTTGTAAGAACACGTTTTATCTCTAGGGCCAAAGTCCGAGAATGCATCCTTGAGGCCTTCTCAGGGCCACCTGACTGTGGGGAATATTCACCCTCTTACCAGAAGACCATCAACTGCATTCAGATGTGCGTCCTCTCCCGAGTGTCACAGGTATTGTCTTTCTTTCTGTTGATGTTTTACTTTAACAATAGTAAGCATCAATTGGTCCTTTGAGAGGACCAAAATGAACCAATCTCCTCTAGCAGTCCTAAGACGGAACTGTTTGGTGATGCAGCTAGATGGTCTGAAAAACTATAAATGCTCTCACAATTTCAATCCTGAGAATTTCTGCTTATTAGCTATGACAATAATGGGGGAGAATACTGCTGCATGCTTGGTAGGATATGAGTAAGTGTGAAAGGAACACTAAAACAGTGGCCACACATTCAATAGAATGCATTTATCAGCTGTGCATATTTTGGAGAAAGGAGATGTTGCTCTGTTTTTCTTCACACTGAGGGAAAACATCTCAAGGCTGTTGGCAGAGAAATATCACAATTCATTGCTCTGTTTTCATATTTTCAGGTACAGGTCATAGAAGTCATCCTGAACAACACCTTTTATAATGTGGTAGACATGAAGGCACTAGGCTGTACCAATGACAAAGAAGTAAGTAAATGCTCCAGTTTGCCAGAATTGCTCTATAAATACACAGCCATAAAGCACAGCAGCATCTCTGCATAGAACACAGAGTTAAAGGGAGCAATTTCCCCCCGCCCCAGTAAAAGCTCTACCTTACCGCTAAAGGAGTTCTACACTAACTACAGGAGGAGAATGATTGCCTTCTTATGTTGCTAAGCACAGGAAAATGTTTTGGAGATCAGAGAGATCCGTAACAGATGTCTGAAAGAAATCATTCATTTTTATTGCATTACGATTTTAGTGATAATGTCAACTTGTGCAGGTTTGACCAAGTAGAATTAGTCTCATCGTCCTTTCACATGACCTGGCAATTTGAAATGCCAGTACAATATGGCTCTTCTTTCTACTCCATTGGCAGTGCTGCTGAGGCCAGTGAGCATCCTTGGTGCTGTGAGGTCACAAGCAGGTTAGCCAAAGCCTTAGACTTTATCTCCAGATGACAGAAGACCAGCATTCTAAGACAGCAGTGAAGGAATTGTTCTGTAGTCATTAGGAGCCAAAGCAGGCTGGTCCAGCAGTGGACCAGCTGGTATATAAACTAAGTGACATATATTAAATTATATAAATATATAAACATTATATATATTATATACATATAAACTTAACATCAAGCAGAATGACAGACAAAGGAGCTACAATGTATTTTCTCCTTCTTCCACAGCTGCTTTAGCTGTTGGACAGGTTCAGCTGGAAGTTTGTTCTATTATCCTTACTTGACAGAGAGAAACTTGGTTACTTCATACTGCATTTGTTGTTTTGACAGTTCAGTGGTCCGTAGGCAGTTTATACTCTGGCTTTCCTTTCAAATTGTGATTATCCTGCCACCCTGTTCTACTTTTGGCCTCTTGCAGGGACATTATAAAGCTACTTTCATCTGAGATGACAAAATCTACCATTGAGGTCCAGAAAGGATGTAATGGACCAACACATGATTTTGAAAGGAGGAGAATAGATGCAGTTTCTTCTGTGATTGTAATGACACATCCTTGTCTCAGGCATGACATCTGTGTTCCTTCTCCACAGGTTCTGGTTCCAGTGGAAACTCCCTATGGTTCCTGTGCTTGCACGCTTGGCAGAAAGAAGTACTTAGAAGCACAAAGCCACATGATAAAAGATGAGAAGGAAAGTCAGTTTGGACTGGTAGCTGCTCAGGGAAAGTAAACCTCTTGGCTTCCCGTGTACATTCCTGATAAACTTGCAGTATGGCTTTCCTATCAGCATATACTACTGGCTTCTTTCATATTGACTACTTTCCACTCTGTGAACTCCTAGATTGGGATTTCTAAATGAGCCTCAGAAATTCAGATATCAGAGTATCTCCCTGGAACTCAGTGTGATTTGCAGACTGAAATCCCAGCTGGAAACATTATAGTTTTTATAGTTTTTAAATCAGCTATTCCCAGACTTAATGAATTTGATGATCTTTAACACGTTTTTGACACACAAAATAAGCAACTATGTATATTATCTATTCATATTCCTTCAGTAAAATGAATATACAGGCACAATACCAGATGTTTCACTGATGTAACCTGTGCCAACCCCTTCATGCCACACTGATCTAGAGAGTTGAAGTTCTGACCCGACAACTGAGTGAGGAATCAGTCAGACACTGATTTCTTTGTGAAGGAAATAACAAAAAAATAAAAATCTAACATATCTTCTGTACAGCATGACTAGTTACAGCTGTTTACTAATTTCTCTGCATGCGTTTTGATTGCATGGCTGCTGCTGCTCTTCATCAGAATATACAGTTACTTTATAATTACTTTTATATTAATCATTGAGGTGTTTGAGGATTTGGGCTATCTCTGTAATTTTAATTAAATAGCTTTCTTTGGTCTAATAATCTCACCATGACTTCAGAGCAGGCAGAAATCAACCTAAGTAACCCTATTATTCTTAGGAAGAGGCAGAAATACAGGATGCATTAAGATAAAATTACAGAACCAGCAATTCTCATCTCAGAAAGGGCAGCTACCACATTTGCAATAGAAATCCTGCTCAACTTCTAACAGCTTCTAACCACTGCTTTCATTTTCTCCAAGTTTCACTGTCACAGAATTCCATGTGACAGAGACAGCAAATCCAATTGGAAGTGCCCTAAGTTATGTCTGAAAACTGCAAATTGGTTGCCTTTGTGCCTCCTCAGCATTTCTCTTTGTACAGAGGGTAAGCTCAGAAATACTGAAAACAACATGTCCTGCACCATACTCCATGACAGGAACTTGCCTTGGTGAACAAGATTAACAGCTGTAAAGGGAAGGCACTGTTCACAGTCCTGAGACAACACCTCAGAAACAACAGAACAAATGACACCACAGAGTGAATCTGCCCCAGATCTGCTGTTCTTTGGTCACTTGTTGATTCTGAAAGCTCCATTAGTGACACTGATAGGTTTTGCTGGGCATGTGCATTCTTATCTTGTTTGACTTGATTTGTATTGTACTTGTGGGCTTGGGCTTATGTCTTGCTACATCTTCTATATTTAGGTGCTTATAATTTATTAATTTATCTTTCAAGGGCAAATAAAGAGCAATATCAAAAACCAAACAAGTCAGTACTTGACTCTTTGTGAAATAAGAAATAAAACAATTTCTTACTTGCATATACATATAAACATCGTATGGAATGATATTTTAATTCAGACAATTTTACCTCAAAAAGTGATCAGCATTGCTTCAAATGACAGTTCACTACCAATTGATAAAAACAAAAGGAAAAAAGGCTCATATTGCACATCTCAATCATTAGCCCTTTTTAAGCAAAGCAGATCATTTATTCTGCTCTTCACTACCAACTTTCTTTCTACCTGGTGAGAAATGACTTGCACTAAGTGGAAGGTTGTTTGTCATTACTATTAGTGCTTCATCTGTGAGCTTACAAAGTACTAATGGATTAAACTCCATGGCAGAACAAGGATGCAAAGAAGCAACTTGTTGTTGATTTAAATCATTCTGTAGCTAAAAGCACACATACACTCTTGTAATGTGGCTTCTATAGACCTCCACACACACGGACACTCAGCAGACCTTACAGACATCTCAGCGTAGCCCCATCCAGCATTGCAAAACCTGAGTCATGCATGTGAACATATTCCTTCCAATGTAAGCATTTAGACAATAGGAAGCAGCCCAAATCTTCTATATGACAACTAGAATCAGATCACAGTGCGATAAATAATTCCTGAAAATGGGACTTAGCCACATTATTTGGGCTCAATCCCTGACCAAATTCCTTTTTATCTTCACAGAATCGCCAAGGTTGGAAGGAACCTCCAACCCCCCTGCCACATGCAGGGCCACCAACCTCCCCATTTAATACCAGACCGGGCTGCCCAGGGCCCCATCCAATCTGGCCTTGAACACTTCTAGGAATGGAGCACCCACAGCCTCTATGGGCAGCCTGTTCCAGCACCTCACCACTCATAGTAAAGAACTTCCCCCTGACACCCAACCTAAATCTTCCATCCCTCAACTTACAACCATTTCCCCTTTCAACTTAAAACCATTTCTACCTTCTTTAGATTTGGTCTCCATGATGGTCAGCAAATAGGAGGATCTTGGCTGCAGTACATCTCCCTGTTCCTGTGCTGACTGGCAGCAGGGCAGGGGATTTGACCGTTGCTTTGCTCCTTCATGCTGCCTCCAGGAGATGGAGGAGTCTCTAAATTACCCATTCAGTGTGATAGCAGGGAGACCTGCAGCACTGAGACTACTGTCACTCTCAACCCAGTATCAGCTGAGCAATCAGACACTGGGCACTCAAAACACAAAGCTGGCTTTTAACCAGGACTCCTGCATAGCTTTGCCACTATTAGAACCATAGTTCTGACATGGTATCCAGTACTGCCCATCAGTTGCTTTCCCATCTCAACCACAGCTGTGTTTTCTGGAAGACAAATGGTAGCTAAAAATAATCTGGCTTTTACTTCCTCTTTCAGACTATACAGTCTTTTTAAAAAATATTTTACCTTTCTCTTACAGAAACAGCAACGAATATGTAATGGACAAAATCAAGAGTCACCTACACAAAGAAAATCAAAGAATCGCAGGGATTGGAAAGGGTCTCTGGAAATCATCTAGCACAACGCCCTGGTTCCTAGCACAGACTGTAGAGGCAAGTGTCAGGAGGGTTCTGAATATCTCCAGAGAAGGAGACTCCACAACCTCTGTGGGAAGCATTAGAAAGTGCAGAGAGCAGTAGGAAACCACAATAAAGATCAGGAAAAGAAATGATTATAGTTCAGAATAACATACTCCAAACTCCCTTCCATGCTTGCACTGAGCTTTCTGTAAGATCTCTACTTGTATGAACCAGTTCACAGTATTGACCAAGGGAAGAATACAATCTGGATGGTTTTTAATCTAATTCACTTGCTCACTAAAACACGTTAAAAGAAAGCACAGTACTCAGTAATCACCATATATATGTCATATTTATTCTCCTTTTCCTTTTCTCTATCTTAGTGAATAGCTTTATCTCAATCCACAAGTTCTTCTTCGTTGTTGCTGGTTTTTTGTTTGTTTGTTTTTGTTTTTTTCAATTCTCTTCCATCCCATTGGGAAGAGAGGAGTGAGCAAATGAGTGTGTGGTGCTTAGCCACTTGCTGGGTTAAACCACAGCAGTCATTAAAACACATTAAAAGAAAGCACAGTACTCAGTAATCACCAAATGAGTCCTCACAGCTGTACAGCAAAAATTTTTACTTCCTGATGGAATTAACATCTTTTAATTTGATATCATCCACAGATCTACCAAAAAAACCCCAAACCAAACCAAAACATTCAAATGGAGGAAAAGAGAATATTCAGTTCATCCTTTGGTAACATAGCATGGTGTATTCCACTCCAACAATTCTACAAATTCAGGGTAGGTAGGAATCTCCAGACAGCTACAGGCAGCTGCTTCACATAATCCTTCCCATAAGTAGATCTAATTCTGTATTAAAATAATTAGAGAAATTTTACATGTAATTTTTCAGCTGCAGCCTCTGACTGGCCTGATAGTCTGTACCTGAAAATTCCCCAGGGCAGAGATGATTCTCTCTATTTGATTGAAGCCTTCCAGAAGATCCCTATTCCCAGTAGGTATCCCTGGCTGCTACCAAATTATAAACAATAAAGTTGTAAGAAGAATTCAGACTGTGACCTACAAACCTGCTAACAGATACCCAAAGAGAGCACAGTTCTCTGAGGGAAAGGAAGAGAAATGGTTAATACACCCCAGAATCCTATCACATATCTAAATAAACGTTTTACAGAGTAAAGGTTAGAAGCTATACAAGAAAGCACGCTGCTGTATAGTTTGTCATAGCACATGCCATGAGTTTTACCTATAGAGCAGATACATATGTGGCTTTATCCCCTTCCAGATGGCAATACTAGAAATATAAGCAGTTCTCCTACCACTGTAGCATCCACAGCTACCTTGCACTTGGCCAAATCAAAGTGAAGGCAGGACAACTACCTAAGGCAGGAGATTACAGGAGCTTCTCTTTGCTGTCACAGAATGTTGTCCCCATTTGGCTGAAATCACCACACCCCTACTCCCTTCCAATCCCATCACAGCTGCCTCCCAAACCATGTTCAGTTTTAGCACACACTCCCACTTATTTCCTGCTTCCTAGCTCATCTGCTAAGTCTCACTTATGCAACTCCACATCCCATTTTAGAGGTCATCACAAAGCTCTCTGGGCCAGAGAAGATGACAAGTCTGGACAGTGCTAAGCAGTACCTGTATGTTATCTCCCAGGCACTGAGGGATAATTCACTCTGCTGTAGCAGTGCCAGCACAGCACCTCTGAATCACTGACAGCTCTAGAAAAGGGTAAGAGAAGTGCAGATGTTACTGTTGAATGTAACCAATGCTTCAAATTCTCTCCTTCAGCAGTATGTAACACTGGATAAGAAAAAGCAAAAATAAAGTCTTTAAATATCTTGGTAGGTGGTGTTAAAGGTAATCACAGGAGCAAAGAATATGCAGAAGGTTTTGGTACTGTTTTAATGGAGAAGTAGGGAAAAAAAATAATAAATCAGGAAATCCAATATAACATAATAAAGAAACAGAAAGTAAAAAGATCTATAAAGTAAACTGAGTTCAAACATAAGCAATGCTTTATTGGGTTATAGCAAGCAACCTATCAAGGAGGGAACTGGTACAAACAGAGTGAACAAGACTCTCTCTTTTAACAGAGATGTATGGTGACAAGACAGCTTCTTTTAGTTTTTAAAACAAGTATTCAAACTGTTAAGTAAAGCATTAAAAAAAATAAACCATTACAACACCAATGACAGACAATATTAAAAATGTGCAGGTTTGTTTAACAAATTTCTGCATAATGTTAGAAAACAAGTTATCATAAATTAAAAAAGAACGATCTATTTCTTTTGTTTGCAAAGCAACACAAACTTTAAAAACCAACCATACTTTACATAGAGCTACCGTTAAAAACAGGTGAAAACAAGCTGAAAATTTAGAGGACAGCAAAAAATACACAACCCAGTTTCACCTGTCAGCGACACCTTCTGCTATCGAAGGGGTTATGTTAGTTTTATGTACAGCTTTAAACATTGCGGCATACCACAAATAAACCTTAATAAGGTCAAAATAGGACCCTCTGCAAAAAAGGGTGAGTTGGCAAATGTCAGTCCCATCCCAGAATTACAAGTAGTAATAGTTTTAGTAGGTCTTTATTGTACACCAGAAGATACTTCCAACGGTTTATCTCTCCCAAAGATGCACAAACTTTATTTTTCTTCTGTTTGTTTGATTTTTTGGTATTTAAATAATGATATTAAGAACACGCTGGCTCAAAAATGAGAATGACATACCTCCCTTTTGTTCTGGATACAGTGATGTAGCTATTTCAACATGCTCACTGACAAACCCTAAAAGAGAAAATCATTATGCACTATGTGAAAAATACACACCACCTCTCTCAATTCAGACTCAGTATACATTATATTGCCAACTCTATCCAATAGGATAAATATCTAAATTTGGTTTAAATTCTTAATATATTCTCTCTTTACAAAGTTCCATCACATGAAACCAAATTGCTTATTTACTGCTTGAGGCACAACATGACCCCAATTAGACAATTCGCTATAAAGAGTTGTTCTTTAGATGTTGTGTCTGTAGAGGTTTTACGTGATATTCATAGATTTTCAGCGCAGGCCCCAGTTTTAATGAAAGTCCAGTCAGTACATCATTTCTTGTCATCAACAGTAATGATTTGCCATCAATTTCCTATAAGAAGAATTAAAGAATTGATAAAGAAAACGTACAAATCTAATAGCTGAGAACAATCATGCAACAAATGGAAGACTACTACAGAGGATCAGTGAGAAAAGAAACAGCCTTTTATTTTTATGAAATAATTTTTTTAGCTGCTAACATCTGCTGTTTGGTTTTTGAAGTGCTCAACTGTGCTGACTAATGCATAAATACTATTTAGTCAAGCAGAAAACCCAAATCAGTCTCATTTCAAAATTCCCTCCTTGTACATCTGTTTGAAATTAATAGGCACACGTACAGCTTGCCTAACTAACAGCCATTAAGCAAAGGACACACTTAGGGAGAAGGTAGTGAAATGTGTTTCAAAATTACCTTTAACAGCAGTGTACAAGATTGGACTAGTCAGCACCTGCTAATAACTTCAGGTGACTGCTTTAAATGGCTGACTTCCCACACATCCAGCAGAGAAAAGGAGTCTCCTGCAATCAGAACTTTTACAAGGATCCAGCTGCAGAGCTCAGCACTCCAAAGGAAATTCCTTCAACTACAGTGGAGAAGGCAGCAACTTCCCAGGCTGAATCTCCACAATGGCTACATTCCACTTTTAAATCATAGGGTTTTCATTCTTTTCTCTCTCTTTTTTTTTTTCCTCTTTCTTTATGCCTTTTTTATTTATTTATTTATTTATTTTGTCTCCTCAAATCTTTGCTTTCTGACCTATTTAGATTAGAAATCCTGCAGGCTTTTTTTTTCCTCCCCCATCTGATAACCTTGTCACATGTTTGCAAAATTAACTGTAAATGATTCTCCATGCATCAAAAAGCAGAAAGAATCCCCATCTCACAACTCCCACCTCAGTTTCAGACACATGACCATTCTTTTATTTGCACCATCACAGTTCTATCACTGCGCTACCCAAGAAACAAGCTACATCTACAGAGCAGTGCATCGACTGGTGTCTCACAAGTCATCACAGCCCAAAGTCTTTAACATAGGTTGTTCTCTTGCACTGGCTTCACTTTGCTGCATTCTTTTCTACTTTTAATTAAAAAATAAATTTTAATTTGGCATCAATAGCCAACAAGTTCAAATGCCTGCATATATTATTGTCGTCCATTACTCTGTATTACCACGATTTTGTGTTTTTATAAATACCATAGATAAATACCACACACAAAACAGTTCCACTGCAGTATCTTTCTTACAAATATTAAATATTGTTTTGGAGATGTTACTGATCATACTTTTTGTTACAATTTAACATGCAAAAATGACAAAGAAGGAACATTAGAGTTCTATAGTAACTTGTCCGAACTGATCTCTCCCATTATGTGATTAAAAATACAAGATTGATGGAAAAAGCATACTATAACCAAATATCCGCTGAAAGTGGAATTTCTTTAAAACCTTACCAAGAAATATAACTGCTAATCCCTCCAGAAGAGCACAGTGTAACAGTATTTCTGAAAAAGAATCACATTTCCAATAACTTTTTACCCAAGTATAACAGGTACCTCCTTCCAATTTCTGTTGAGAATGTTAATAGTTAAAAAACAGTTGATATTTTCTTGTTTCCATTTGTCACAATTCTTTTTGTGGAAATTCTGACACCACTGAGTATTTTGCTCATTGATACGACTGATCTGAAGCTGCCTTTTCCACTGCCGTTCAATGACGTTATGGAGTAAGAACAACCTCCAGCTTGGAGGGATCCAGATGAAGCAAATCCAGTACCTGGAACAGGAGAAACTCCATGAATAGGTAGAGATAGTTTATTTCCTTTTCCTTCTTCTTCCACAGGATTCCCCGTGGATTTAAGAAATGCTGGGAAGTAGACCATCTAAGGATTTAATTGAATAGAAGACTGATCCTCTAAGCATACCTGGGTAGGAATGAGTAAATATGTATTAAAATTCCAGTGTGTTACATCTCTATGTCTATTTTATGGTTTACTTCCACCTCTTTTTGTTTTCTTTCCCCTTAAAACTGCTTCCATAGATTTGCCATTGTCATTTCACTTTTTGGCATCAGGTAAGACTTTGGAGACTTCTGTGAAGTTCTTCTCTGCTACTCCACTATTTTCAGGTTATTTTTCAGCTTCAGCTTATTATTCAACTTCAATGCCAGCTTTTGTCATGCCCTTTTAGTGCCATCTAGAGAGGCATCCCTCTGCACATCTAGAGCTAACAGTAGTTCCTCAGCTGCAATAGTCAATTTATCGTCTTCAGCAAATCCCCACACGACCAGTCAAGAATCAAGTCTGCTCTTTCTCCAAGTGACTGAGAACTGCAGTGTTCTACATCACAGCTGACAAGAAAGTATACCAGCCAGAATGCTCACATGCTCCTCCATGCCGTGGATCTGCTAGAAGATGGCAGCAGATACCAGCTAATATCAAACCTGTTTCCCTTCTGGTAAGGCACTGCAGCAAGGACCAGCAAACTATCATTGGATTCCTTAGGCTGAGCTGCATAACACAGTACTAATGGTAAGAAGTTGCGTGGCAGTAGTGAAGGGTCAAGCATTGCACTACCACATCTCAGGACACATCACAAGGAATCCATCTTCGAGCAAGCCAAAGCCCCCTGTGCTCCCAAGGCTCCTAGAGAAATATCAGCCATGTACTTGCAGATAACAGTTCTTTGAAGACGTTCACACTCTCACTCACATCTGGTCTGCCACTCTCTTCAGTGATCCTCTGTGCCCAACTTCTTGGCTTGCCTGGAAAAATGTGCTTGATGTTATTGTTTTGGATATTGGGCAACATCTTCCAGTTGAATCTTTTCAGAGAGCTCTTACAGCTTGCTGACATCAATGAAACTCCAAGAAAGAATAATGTATAACCATCATATACTCATCATGCCCTACCAGCACTTACAATACAGTTACTAAAAACATTCTGTAGTCCTTAAAATGTCTTTTCATTTTCCTTTAAAAGTATAAGAAAAAAATCACATCTTACAAAATCCTTTGAGTCACTTGCGTCATGTGAGTCCAGATTTAGATTCATTAGAAGTGTGGACTTACTGTTACGTAGAAGCTGAACATATTAATATTTCTTGAGATTACATTTTGAACTATGGATGTCTTGCAAGAAAATCGTTGTGCTAACCCTTCTAAAACAGTTCAGTGGAAAACAATTTCTCAGTGTTGTAGGTGAATTGGGATACTTCCCTTCACCACTTACAGCCTCGTTCCCCTTCCAGTATATATCCATGGCAGTAGCAGATCAAACAAATTTCAGATTCTGAGACCCAGACAAGCTGCAGAACAAATGGCATTTAAAACCAGAGATGGCCACAGTTTCAGCTGCACACCTTGTGACTGCCATACCTGGAGAGCCTGTGAGATCCTGATAACAAATACCATAAGTATACAGAGTTAAAATTAGTGTCTTCTAAACAGCGCAGAGGAAACAAAACAACACTGCTGTTAAGAGGATAGAGATAGAATTGCTCCTGAAGCAGAAGGGAAGGGTCAGTTCTTGCCTGGAGAGCACTCGCTGCTCTCTATGCTGCTAAGGAAATAGAAGTGGAAGGGAGTGGCAATGATTTCCACCTCAAATGTCCATCTCACATCTCCTGGCTATATCTTGGTGGCTCCCGTCAGCTTCTCTCCAAAGCTTTAGCACAAAGTGAAGTTAGTAGCAGAACCAAAACCATATTTCTGCCTATGGCAGCTTACTGCCCATCTAACCTAGCAGAGCCTTGGCAATATGTTGCTAAAAATAAGCTTACTGCATCTTTCCTCCTGAAGCCACTTGCCCTCACTGCAGAATACTAACAAAACTTGTACTTGTCAGTTCTACATGCTATTTTCCACCAGGCTGTTGCAAATTGCGTTGCCAGAACTCCTGAGCTAGCCTCACTTTGCTGTTGCAAGATCAGTAGTAATTACTGCAGTACTATTGACAAGCCAGCTGGTATTTAGAGAGGTTAAGGCATGTGATGAAAGTCAGAGGTATCTGTCAGAATAAGGAAAAAACCCAGAGGCTGCAATTACTTGGCTTGTGTTTTTCTTATGTCATGTTTCCAGGGTTGTTGAGGAGACATAATTGCTGGTATTAAGGAGTTGATAAACTTAGTCTTTTTTTGTTTGTTTACCCGTCTTCAAATTCTCAAAAATTATTAGCAGCTGCAGCAAAAACCTCTCTGCCTTCTGCCAGAAAATTAGCCAGCACCAGGCTTTTCACCTCCCAGAACAAAGAGCTAAATTTAGATACTTCTTTATACTCATCAGTTCCAATCAGATGGGACTTCATAGCCCAGGTGCAGAAGGTCAGCAAGATTATTCCGATCAACAGTAACTCTATTTCAGTTTAGATGTACTGTTCTCCAGCAAAGTTGGCCATATCTTACTCTGGCTCAGGCCTTGGAAAGTCAAGCCATCCATTTTAATAACTAAACAAAACTGTTCATGGAATAAAACACAGAAGGGTTTGGGTTGGAAGAGATCTTACAAGATCACCTAGAGTTCCAGCTGTGGGCACAGTTACCTTCCACTAGACCAAGTTGCCCAAAGCCCCATCTAAACTATCATGACAATTAATTTCCTGATACTTGCACACAAACCTACAGATATATTACAGAATGTGCTGAATTGATAATCTGCAGTTTTATGATCCGTCCCTATGGAACAAGTGAACCACAAGCCAAGTAAGCAAACACCCCTATCTTTCCTCACTAACGCACTTTAACAGTGTGCTGATAGGTGAGTTACCAAGGAGCTATACAACAGCTATGCTCTTTGCAAAACTGCCAAAAGAAGCCATTCATTAGCATCAGAAAGTGTGCTTATAATGTAGGCACTTATTATACTGAGACTAACACCATATACTGAAGCTAACTCTGGGGTCAATACCACAAAAGCTAAAGTTGTAAAAATGATTTCTGAAACTTGATTCATGCTCCCACACTTGTTTTTCTGTGGAGAGCAGTCCATGGCTGTCCCTTTAACTGATTTTTCTCCAATAGCCTTTCCTTGACATATAAAGGCAGATGGAAAATTCTCCAACTCATAGCTTTTGTTCAGTTTAAGGATCTAAACTCTCCAGGTCTTCCTGATACTTACAACCACCCTTCTGCAAGCCTCAGTCTCTTCATCAGATTGGAAGTCCTACAAACATGCTGCTCCTGTGCCTGAGAAGATTACTCCCTTTAATTGCCAACTTACTCTTTCCCTGTTCACATATATTGTCAAGTTCTGTGGAACACAGCAGTCCTTTTCATTCTATACCTCAAAAGTAATTACTGTGTTAGGAACCTTTGGATGAGAGTATTTGCACAGTATACTTAGGAAGAAGGAAATTACCATCCACATTTTAAACCAGTCCAAGTGAGAAAACTTGTTTAGATTCCTCACCTTTCAGATGACATTTCAAACATACTTCATCCCATTATGTGGATCCTGTAACATGACAATCTTCAACTCCCACAGGTTTTTATACCCAATCACCTAATGTGGGATTTTTCCATTTAACAAGGTATCACTGGGCCCATGGCAAAAACGTGCAATGGGAGAAGGTGGCGGCAATCAAAGTGTTTCCTAGCAAACTTACCTGTTCTTGAAAAGCACTGGCTTGTTCTTCAAATCCAGCTGTCCTGAAATAATTCACAACATCTATAACAGCCCAGTCAGCAGGATCTGGAGGTCTCCCATTTTCTACTGAACTGCAACACACAAACCCAAACAAATAATCACTACTTGTCTGTAGAGTCCCTGCTGCTTCTTTGTAGACAACCCATGTATGTTCCCTTCTCTGTTCCTCCAGGAATAGTACCCCTCAACACACCTGCCACCACTCCAATAGAGAAGAATCACTGCTTTTCTGTTCCATTTCAAAGACCTGATACCAGGGACAAGTGACATACTCCTCCCTTCAGAAAAGAAGAATATGGATATTCACATCAGCCAAAGGCAGTCAGGAGCTTTGCCCATGAGTGCACTGCCTTTGCAGAACAGAGGCTACTTCTGTAGTTTGATTTCAGCTATCAAGCATTTACATAGAATTGCAGTATGCAGATTACTCTTCTCCAAGATGAGATTGTGCTATGTTGTAACATGGGTTACAGTACTGTAAATTATCTTTAGCTCATAAAACAAGAAAATAGAGGCACCACTGATTGCATTAATTGCTCAATATAGAGAGTCCTCCAAAATTTCTTTTTGACTTACCTTTGGAGAAATCCTGAGACTTTCTGAACAACTAAGAATGTAAGAAAATATCTGTTTAACACAATCAGAACAGATTCTTTCTATGATTGACCTTAAGCAATTACATTCCACAGAAGCAAGACCAACCAATCATTCATGTTGCTACTCTAACCCTCCATTTCTTATCCTCAGCTTGCCATCATATTATCTCAGATAACCTTTGTGTATCTGCAAACTCTTGGTGAAACATGTGATGAGCTTGATTGCCTGCCCTACAGTAATGTAGTAGGATGAAGAACAAGATGTCATTCAGTAGAAAATAAATTTGGACAAGATGCTTCTCCAGCTAGACATCCCATGCTTACGGGTCAGATGTTTTTCACTGTCCTGCATGCTTAACCATAATGTTAATGAAGAAATTACAAAACCATACAGATAGAGTACCAGATGGAAAGTAAACTTAGATTATACTCCTCTGACAAAGTTCTTGTTCTGTCCTTTAGATTTTCATTTTCCAGTGTTCACCACCTCTGTTCCTTCTAGACTTGTATGTCTTTCAGCAAACTCAAGGGACAATTATTTTTTTAAAACCAGCCATGAAGAGATGAAAGTAGAATCACACAAGGTGCTTTAGATCACCATTTCTATTTCTATGACCACATGAACAAGGTGAGCATGATTTTTACTTCTCTCTTAATCCTTGAAACACACTTGTCAATATGACAACAAAATTCTGGCTCTAAAGAATCATGTTGCAGCCTCAATATCACACTGCATTTATAGTTGACCTTTTAAAAGCAGTTTCTTGAAATTATCACAGAGTATATACATATTTCAGTGCAAAGAGCAAAGGCCAGAGGTTCTTGCTCTTGCTCATGAAGTAACAACTTTACGATTGGGATTGCAGAGAAAGGCAACACTCAGCAAAACTTTAAATAAGACGATCCAACTTTATCAGAGCTGCACCTGAAGTTTTTTGATTTTTTTTTTGGTGTTGTACCCATTCTGAGGCTTAAGAAGTAAAATGCTGTGAAAAGCACCATGCAAAACCTCTGTATATTTGTAGAACCAAGATTTGAAGAATTATATCTGGATTTCCCCCCAACACAGATACTCGCAATGACACATCTTTAACTAAAAATTAAAAATAAACTAAACCCCCAAAAACTCAATATTAAAAAAAAAAGCCAAAAGAACAATTTAATTATTCCTAAGCAGTAAATGAAAGACTCAATCTGTCAAAATACTTAACTGTATTTTACTTACTTCCCAAAGCATTTTCATTTCAAGTTGACTATGAACCCCCCCACAATGTATTTCAGCCCAAGAGCATTGGTTCTTCATACAGCTCTTCTTTTACTGCCAGGGAACGTAGTGCTTGGTCTAGTCCCATCCTAGGCCCAACTGCAACATCTTCAAGGGCTCCACCTTAGTCATTCCTAACCCCAGGAACAATGGCAAATTCCTACTTGGAATAGCATCATGTTGGACTTCAAGCAGAGTCCATTTCCACAGTTATAGCTGCAGAAAACTCACAGGCATGTGGCGTACTGTCAGGGGCTGGCTGGATTTTAAATCACCTACCCACACAGATGCTCATTTGGCTTCTAGACAGCCTTCTCCTTGCCTTGCTGTTGCACATGGCTCTATTCCTTAGACAAGAAAAGGGAATATATAAGAGCCACTGTTTAGCCATACACCAGTTTATGCCAGACATTCTGGATGCCCTAAAAACTTAAGAGAACTAGTATGTTAGGCTTTATAATCAGATACTAGGTGTGCTAACAATGAACAAAGATTTGACTTGTCTTCTGGTTGCCACTGTCCCTGTACCTTTATTGCCATCATGTGGCCGAAGCAGTAAGGCCTGGGAAAAATATAACTGCGAAGAAACAGATTTTATCCAAGCTATTTATAACCTCTTCAAGGAAGTACCAAATACTTCCTTAGTAGATAGGCACACATACATACTATATATTTTTCTTTAGAAACCACAGCTTATGCTCTGTTTAATTATAATCACAACCAGATTTAAAAAGCCACCATTGCAATTAGTAGTTGAGTCTTTATCACCTAAGCCTTGGCGGAAAAAGATTAAAGCTGTCCTTGTTCTCACTGCTTCCCTTCTCACCTCTGCCATGGAGTCTCAGGTGCAGAAGAAAAACAGGTAACTGAAGGTGGCTTCTGAGAGGCATAATCTATGCTTAGTCACTTAACAGGGAGACACTTTTTACATTGGTGTGGTATAGCCAGACTCTTGAGTTAATGGGGAAAAATACAAATTTTATTGGCTACCAGTAGATCTTTTGATGCTGTATCATAATCATGCATTTCAACAGTATCCTGAAGAGACCATTACTATTATTATTATTATTGTTGTTGTTTACATTACTTGGTGCTGGGGAACCTAAGCATCATCACATTTTCAAGGACAACTCCTGGCAAAGGGATGTGAAAGACAAGAATGAGGTGCAGCTTCATAGAAGTGCTGCAGTCTGGCAGGACAGGTGACAAGCTCTCTCTAGTTCCTTTCTTAGCGTTACTTATCAACAGAGTATTTATAGGCCTAACAGAACTTAGCTGTTTTTCCCACACAAAGCTTCACTTTTCAGACAGTAAGTTAGATTAGGACTGGCGATCCCAACTGAAGAACTGATGACCTTCAAAGATAAAGAAATGCATCTAGAACAGTTCCTATCCCTTAGCCTGCAGCCCACCACACTGAAGAAACCTGCAGAGCACCGTACATCATGTCTTTCTTTCCCTTATTACCACCATAGGTCTGAGGAAGGAATCTGTTTAGGGCTTCTCCAGCAAATAGCATAAAATATCTGCTTTGAAGGGACACATGCTGCTTCTCAGCTTATAATGGCTGGACAGTCAGCAGGGAGATAAAAAGAATGAGAGGAGACACATACATGGGACACTTCTCCCCATCAGGCATTGGTTCTAGAAAGCACAGACACCTCAGGCACCATTTGCTGCTTTGACTTTTGCAAGTCCTTCCTCAGGAATTTCACCTCATCATCAATGCGGATGGTGAGAGGAGCTTTCCCCACAACAGCAAACAGGTGAACATGGGCAGAGTGTTGGTTGCTGTGCTACCACTCGCTTTGGTCTCCAGCTGAGATAAGAAAACAATGGAAACAGGAATACTACCAACTTACTAGCTTCCACACTTCTCCATTGCTGTACTATCCTCCTGCATACCACTTTAAATCACTTCAGTGCCCTAGATTCTTTTATTTCAAAGTAGAAATGCAATAAAACTAATAGAGAACACAGATTAGTAGAAATAAGCAAAGATGGAGATCCCCACCCTTGCCATCCATATTAAGTCAATGGACAAATACAATCAAAATTCACATGCTATTTGCATAAAACAAACTTTAAGGAATCACTTACTTTTTGACGTCCAGAGAACCATTTTCCTTGTTTTCCATGTCAACAGTTAGCATGGAGAAGAGAGGTTTCCTCAGCAGCTACCAACAGGAAAAAAGCTGCGTTTAGTTACTAGTAGTATGAAAAGAACAACCAAACACAACAGAAACAAGTATTCCATAGAAATGCAACTGTTTCCATCTGAGAGCAAAGTGCTGTGGAAGACCACTTCCCTCAGAACCTTGGCAAAGCAGGTAATAACTAATGAATTAGGAAAAGTTTGCCTGTGCTTTGAACACAGGAAATTGCATCTTCCTTGATTTTCAGTCAGGAAGCATCACATACGATCCTTTTTTAAACTAATACAATCTTGAGTACGCAAAGAAAGACCAGCCTGCAATATGCCTATAACCAGTTATAGGATACCAAGCGTGCTCTCAGTGCCTTCAGTCACCCCGAGCAGAAGCACAACCCTACTGCTAGTGAGGCTTAAAAATCTACGCCCTTGTTTTACAAATGGGGATCTGAAACACCGATGAGAAATGCGATTTCTACCCCAGTCACAAACCCGCTGGCAAGGCGAGTCACTGAACGAGTCCAAAACTCCTGAGGCCTAATTGTGCACCTTCTCCACCAGCCCATCCTTCCTGTGCTTTGCGCTGCTGCCTCCATGCACACTGAGCTCAGAAGGGGGAAGGACCGTACAAAGGACGCGGGAGGAAAGGAAAGCCAGCCCGCTGGTTGCTCCCACCGCCCCAAGGAAGGCACAGAAAGCAGCCCAGCCTCCTCCTTCTGCTCTCAAAGGCATTTCTATGTCGGGGAGCACCGTAACTACCCACAGGCTCGGGATGTTCCCGCTGTAGGTTAATGGACGCCGGCGGTACATCTGAGAGCTCGGGGAAGTACAGAACGGGGAAATCGCGCTCTTCAGTTAAAACTTTGCAAAAAACAAACGATAGCAATTAACGGCGCTGCTAACAAAAATAAAAGGAAAGGAAGGACCTTTTACGAGCCGATTACCAGCACCAGATAGCAGCACCAAACTGGCAGTAAGGATGCTCCTTCCACGCGGAGCCCGGAGCACTCGGCGCAGCCCAGGTGTGGGCGCGCTGACAGCCGCCGGCTCCGGGCCGGG